TTTTCTGCCCACCACTCCAGTGGATTATCCATTGTGGGGATATGCGGTGTCCGCTGGCAGTAATCCCGTAGCTCATCATCCGCATCACTGTTGACCCGTGTTTTCTTGCTGTTCGTTTGCCTCTGTTCAGTGCTGACGCCGGTCCGTTGCTCACTGGTGCTAGCATTACTGCTAGTGCTAGCTGTCGGCAGCGGGTGTTTCATCTTTAGATGGTTGCGCATAGCAGATGCATTTGTATTGTACTTCAGTACAGCTGTACACAACTGACACTTCACTGTGGAGTTGGTTACATCTTCGTTGAAGTACTGCCATACATAAGAATGTCGGACGTGTTTTGTAGCATTTTGCAGCACCTCGTTTACCTCCATTTTTTTCACGACTAGTCGACTAGGGCCTACAGCGCCGACTAGTGGTAAAGGTAGTCGACTAGTCGACTAGTTGGTGAAACCCCTAGTGTGTGTGTGTGTGTGTGTGTGTGTGTGTGTGTGTGTGTGTGTGTGTGTGTGTGTGTGTGTGTGTGTGTGTGTGTGTTGTCCAATATTCTCCGGTGAGCGCAACTGTGGAAGTCTTTCTTAAATCCTCCTCTACTTTCGCTTTTTGGACTTCATACAAGTTGTGTATTTTCGACACACTGGTGGCTCTGGAAGGCAATTCAGAAGTGCAGTCGTTGGATGCGACCCAAATTATATCACGCAGCCCCTCGTCCTCCACAATGTTAATTGGCCTGCAAGCTGTCGCCACCCATTTAGCAATCTTTGTTGAAAGTTTGCTGCTCGAAGACGTCTCCAGGCGTCTCCACCGCACACGTTTAAGTGTGGTCTGCCGCAAGCGGGCGGCAGGAGCGGGGCTGTCGGCATCAGCAGTGTGCTTGGATTGTATAGATGGTATTTTAAACTTGATGCGCGCTGAAACTACGGGGCGGCCGAGCACAAAAAATGCACATGCGTTAAAATAATTAGTGGCGTTACATTTTTGTTTGTTATTAACGCGTTAACTTGACAGCCCTAGTTTATACATTAATAACATTAATTGAAAGAATATAAAAACATGCTTAATGCCTCGAGTATTTGTTGTTTCAGATAATGTTTGAAAACTGTTTTTTTTAAAGTTCACGGATGATGTAATCTAGAACCACCTGTTGTGAGGTACAATGTGTTAATAAAGTTGTGACATCACTTCCTCTTCCAGACTGCTGGACCCGACCAACACGCTGCAGTTCGACGACTTCAAGAAGAGTTACGGAGAAATCCTTCACCGCTGGGGTCTGAGGGAGAAGAGAGCCGACGTCCTCAAGTTCGCCTCCTGCCCTCCTGAACCCCACAAAGGCATTGGTGCGTCTCTCTAGCGCTGCTGCCCTATAATATATATATAATGTGCAGCGAGGCGTCGTTATTGGAAAGAAGAGCATGGTGATCATGGAGCCCGATGCAAAGTGGAGGGATCTTGATCACCCTGCTGTTCCCTTTAGTGTTTACCTTTTGCCTGTCTTCTTCTGTTGTTCCCTTTAGTGTTTACTTCCTATCTGTCTTCTTCTGCTGTTCCCTTTAGTGTTTACTTCCTGCCTGTCTTCTTCTGCTGTTCCCTTTAGTGTTTACTTCCTTTCTGTCTTCTTCTGCTGTTCCCTTCCATCCTCTCCCTTGTTCCTCCTCATCAACGGTCATTATTTTTGCTTAACAGCGGTGTGTTATGGAGTATTAGCAACCTCTGAAATGTCAGAATCAGACCAATCAGCATTGAGTATTCAGCTAAGCCGTGTGATTTGTAATGTTTAAATAATCAGTATTCAACAATACCCAGAGTGTGTGTTCTCTCTGTGCAGAATTCGGTGTGTACTGCTGTCACTGCCGCAGTCAGGCTCGTGGGACTCAGTGCGCTGTCTGTAAACGCCTCACCTTCCAGTGCGCCATCTGCCACGTCGCCGTCCGCGGATCCTCAAACTTCTGCCTGAGCTGCGGACATGGAGGACACACGAGTCACATGATGGACTGGTTCAGGCGGCAGGATGAATGTCCGGCCGGCTGTGGCTGCCACTGCCTGCTGCAGAGCACCTTCTGACTGCTCAGGAACAGAAACAAACACACCTCCAGCTGCAGAGTGGAACCTTCTGATAGCACAGGGACAAACACACCTCCAGCTGCAGAGAGGGGTATCTGATGTAGCGTTTACTAATTTAAATAATGATTCAGATTAACATACAATCATAACACATAATATAGATGTGT